GATAGTTTTCGAAGGCCAAGCAATGATAGGCGTGTCATTTCTGATTTTATTGCGCATTTAATTGAAGCTAGAGGTAAGAATAGAAGCATTCTTGGCAGCTTCCCTAATGCCCATCAGCCTACTAAATGGTGTCGTCCTGAACCTGGTCGGTTGAAGATTAACACAGATGGTGCTTCTTCCCTATCTAGGCAGCATGCTAGCTGTGGAGGCCTTGCTAGAGATCATAATGGTGCTTTTCTGGGTGGTTTCTCTTTCAGATTAGGTTTCTGTAATCCTCTTGATGCAGAACTCTGGGGTATGCTCAAAGGTTTAGAGCTGGCCTGGGGTACTGGTGCTAGGAGAGTGGAGTTGGAATGTGACTCAGAAATTGCTCTTAGCACTATCCAAGAAGGGAGCAACAACCGCAGAAACTCTCAGGTTGTTTCCCGTATTCACAAATGGCTTGCTGAAGATTGGGATGTTCGTTGGGTCCACACCTTTCGAGAAAATAACAGATGTGCTCACTGGTTTGCTTCTAGGCATTTTGAGGATGATAATAATCTTATTGTTTATCATTCTCCTACTTCTCCTTTGTTAGAGCTCCTTCTTCAGGATGCTTCTGTAAATCTTTTAAGTTCTCGCGTCGTGTAATTTTTGTTTTGTTTGGGGCTTTTGCCCCTCTTTATTACAAAAAAAAAAAACAATGTATTAGGGGTTAGCACCATTGTTAGATGTTTTTAAGTTGCGAATGTGAATAATAGAGACATTAGAATAAGCGTTTTTTTAGAAGATAAAATTATCATATATATATATATATATATATATATATATATATATATATATATATATATATGGTAAAATCATTTATGCAGCTGTTTTACGTACATCAACGACAAGGGTATGATTATGATTCTCCATATTTAATGTTTTCATCCTTTGTATAGTTATGATTCTCCGCATTTAATACTTTCAAGTATGTATATAGCAAGTATTTGATTGTTACACGTACAACAGCTGCAGAAATGTAAACCCCTATATATATATATAAGGGGGGGTTATACTTACCACCAACTAATCTTACCACCCTTACAACCAATCTAATCATTGTTAGATTAGAATTAAATCTAATGATGATTACTTACCCCTTATAATCTTAATTTTGTCTCTCACATCCCCTTTCTGTGTGCCTTTTTCTTTTTAGGTTTTCATCCCCTCTATGTCTCTCTCTAGTTTTTTTTGGGTAAACAAAAGGGGCAATGCCCTAAAAACAACAAAGCAAAAATAAAATAGCAAGAAGAAATAAACTAATTAGGTGCAGCAGCCCAAATCTGAGCAGAAGACCCCTCCAAATCAATGAACTCAGTAATAAAAAGATACATTTTTTAATAAGATTAACAAATGACTTAACAAATTTTTCATTGTCTTTGAATGTTTCCCTGATTTTGATCTCTAAATTGTTGAATCAAGGCTGCCATTGAACCTTCCAAATCTAGAGAGAGAGGATGAAAACCTAGAGAGAGAGGCAAAGACAGAGGGGATGCGAGAGAAAAAATTAAGATTATAAGGGGTAACTAATCACCGTTAGATTTAATTATAATCTAACAGTGATTAGATTAGTTGTAAGGGAGATAAGTTTAGCTAGTGGTAAGTAAAACCCTCCCATATATATAAAGTGTATGAGGACTATTTTTTTCCTCTATTTTCTTTACATGGGCCCATATGGACCCAATGTTTGTCGGGCCAAGGTGCTTGGGAATAGAATAAAGGAACAAAAGCGTGGTAGGAGCAAAAATTACTACGAGGAGCAATTAATCAAATAAGGAGAAACTCTACCCAAGATGTGCAAGCGCACGTGTCAAGAAATATAGGGTTAATATGAGCCCCGTATTATTGTCCTCAGGGAACAAATGTAAAAGTTACGTTTTAAAAGGAAATAGAAAAAGAAAATAGAAAGAAAATCAAAGAGCAATTGTTCTCGGTCAGAATCCATTAAGGAGCATTTTCTATTAGCCAGTTAAACAACGTTAACCATTATAAGTAGACTAATGTTGAATGCTGAATGTCCTTCTTTTTCTTCACAAAACTTTAAATGGGACGAGATAAACAAATAAGAGATTCGAATTTGGTAGAAGTAAAAATAGGTGCAAGAAAGAACAAACAACAATAAGCTACCATCGAGTCAGATTTTATCAAGAGCAATTGTGAATATTGAGTAGTTTAAAAGAAAAGTGTTCAGAGAGAAAAAGCAATAGGTCTTGGAATTAATAATTTCACCCTCTTAGTTAATCTTGTAATGTTACATGAATTCAAAGATGAACTATGCTCCTGTCACCATTACAGCTTATTCCGCATAATCTGGAGCAGTGGCCTGTTGCACCAAATCACACTTGAAATTCTTCAATTCGATATTTAAGGAGATCAAGTTTGCCTTCTTAAAAGAGCATGCTGAAAGGATCACTAGCAAAAGTAATTTACATGAGACAGTGTTTCCCTTTCTGGATATTTTCCTGACTCAGAGCAAAATATCCTTATATTTCTATCTTCGCTCCACATTGCTTTGTGAGGGTTTCATCGCCCAAGTGATCGTAGGAAGAGGTTGCAAACCAAAGGGTTTTAGAAATCAGAGCATTAAATCAAGAAACAACTCATAGTTCATTAAGGAAAACAATGTTTCATTATAAGAAAATCCTAAGACAAAGAGTGTTACTTCTACCTCACCCTCAACCTACTTAAGAAATTTAGCTCATAAGGAGCATGATAAAAACTAGAAAAAAAATACAAAGGAAAGACTTCGGACTCTAAACTGTCTACTGCACGAGGTTGAAGATGCCCCCTCATTATAGTCCTTTCCCTTTTTAGTAAAAGGTATTAGCTTGTAATCCCAGCCGCTGCTTAAATCAAAGGTTTACATTTCCACAAATCCTCTCCAATCAAAGCATCGCTCCATGCCAACTTAGCCCTAATATATTGTGGTCCCTTTCTTCTTTTGCACAAAATTCTGATCCGATTCTGCATACTGAGGTGCTATTTTCCACATTCTCTGTTGTCGCTGACGTGTCTGCATCCGATTGGCTGCTTTTTCTGCTTCGTACTGTAACTGCTTTCTTGTCTCCTTTTTGTATTTTATGTTTTTTCCCTCCAAGTTTCTTACTTTGCTGAATCGGGCTTCTTCTTGGTTTGGGTCTTAGATTTCCTGCAAGAGCAATTCAACCCATTAAGCTCACAATTAGGGTGTGCATGACAACCTTCCCGGAATTAATTCTTTTTAAATTTCTGTTCCCGAGAACAAAAATGGATAGAAAACTCGTTTGATAAAACCGGTTTATTTTTTTGTTCCCGGGATGAACCAGTTTATTTTTTGTGCTGGGGAACAGAAAAAAGAATCAAAAAATTTCTGCTTTTTTGATTCTGGGCACAGGATGAGAAACACTTATCTCTCTCAATTACTCTCCACCACTACCATCATCACCACCACCACCACCACCACCACCACCACCATCCCAACACGACCACCGCTATCATCGTCGTACCACCACCACCACCACCGTCATTACCACCACCACCACTATTACCATCACTGTCACCACCACCATCGTCGTCATTGCCATCACCAACACGCTACCACTACTACCGTCATCGCAGCTGCCGCAACCACCGCGACCATCGCCACCATGTCATCTCCATCACTATCGTCGTAGAGACTGCTGTCACCACTACCATTACCGCCGCCACCGCTGCCGCCACCACTACCATTATCATGCCACCGCCACCACCATGTCATCATCATCACCATCGTCGCAGACACTGCCGTCACCACCACCATTATTGCCGCCACTGCCACAATGCCACCATTACCACCACTACCATTATCACGTCATTGCCACCACCACTACACCATTGCCACTGCCACCACCACTACACTATCGCCACCACCACCACCATGTCGTCACCATCACCACCACCATCGCTGCGGCCACTGCTGTCACCACCACCATCTCTACGTCACCGCCACCATCACCACCACTACCATCACTGTCACCACCACACCACTACCACCACCATTACCACCGTCGCCGCTGTCACCATCACCACCATTGCCACCGTCGCCATCACCATTACCACCACCATGACACCATCCCTACTGCCACCACCTCCACAACGCCACTACTACAGCCGCCGCCACCACCAACATCACCACTACACCATATGAAAAGGAAAGTGATGATCCAAAATTTTTGTATGCTTAATAGGAATGATTTTTTATTCTATCATTTTTTGTGTTATCAAACGCAATTCTCATTCTCGGAATAAAAATAAAACATGTTATCAAACACATTTTTTTTTTCAGAAATTGTTCCAAGGCACAGAAATAGAAAAGAATTGTTTCTTTTCAGAAACAGTGCCAGGGAACAGAATGGTTACCATGCACACACTTAATAAATCTAGCTAAATTGTTCCAGTACTATACTAATTCCCATATTTACGATAGCTCCAACCCAATTTATCAATAAACTGAATTTAGGAGTAAAAACTGAGTTAGAACAGCTATTTTACCATAAAATTAATAGATTTTTTAAAAAACCTTTTAAAATCTTACACCCGTGATTATTATCATTATATAATATGTATAGTAAAAAAAAGGAAAAATTATTTGTTATTTTAAAGAATACAAGTTTGTATCATTTTAAGTGAAACTATCGTGTTTTATTATTATTTTATCTTCTCTCAACTTAATACTCTCACTTTATCTCTCTTTCTACTTTTGTGGATGAGAGAGAGTATAAAAAATTATCAAATATATATTAAAATATATTAATTTCATTTAAAATGATATAAATTATATCCATTGAGATAATAAATATTTTTTCTTAAAAAAAATAAAAAACTAGTAAATAACAATTTCTAGAAACTTGGAAGCAACGAAGCGAACAACATTGTAGCAATCCCAAGCCCAAGCCCAAGCCCAATTAACAAAGGCGTGTTCTGAAGACAAGTGAATAACCCTACCTATCTCCTTCTCTCTCTTTATCTCGTTTCTTTCTTTCTTTCTTCTCTTGACTTACGCAACTAGCAGGTCACAAAAGATCTCGATCTGCAACAACCATGTCTTCTAGAAAGTTCGATAACCCTCACTCCGGCGACGGTGCTAGTCCCGGGTTCGCCTCTTTCTCCTTTTTCATCAATTATTATTTTTTCTCTTATGCTTCGTTTCTTATTCTTCATTTTGATGCAGGAAAATCTTCATCGGAGGGTTAGCCAAAGACACAACCTCGGGTAACGAACAACCTTTATTTATTTTTAATTTTTTTTTTTTGTTAATGTTATTAGTTACTGATTTTGTTATTTTTATTTTATTTTATTTTCTGATTTGGCAGATACGTTCGTGAAGTATTTTGAGAAGTACGGAGAGATAACTGACTCGGTTATCATGAAGGATCGACATACGGGTCGGGCCAGAGGATTCGGGTTTATAACCTACGCGGATCCTTCTGTTGTTGACCAAGTCATTCAAGAGAACCATGTCATCAATGGCAAGCAGGTAATTTTTGCAAAAAAATAAAATAAAATTGGTTTATGTTTTTGTGGTTAGTTAAGTTGCAAAAAGAAAAAAATTGAATTATTTTTGTTTTATTAGGTTGAGATAAAGAGGACTATTCCAAAGGGTTCATCACAAGCTAATGACTTCAAAACAAAGAAGATTTTTGTTGGTGGTATTCCAACTTCAGTATCTGAAGGTTTGCTTGTACCCTTGCTTGCCCTTTTTTATGCACTGCTATTTGATTTATGTAATAATAATAATAATAATCATGTATGCTATTTGGGACTATGAGCTTATTATTATATCTTTGTCTTTGGTGTATTTGTTTCAGATGAGTTGAAGAACTTCTTCTCCAAGTATGGTAAGGTTGTGGAACATGAGATTATACGTGACCACACTACGAAACGTTCCCGGGGCTTTGGGTTTATAGTTTTTGACAATGAAAAGGTTGTTGATAATTTATTGACAGATGGGAACATGATTGATATGGATGGTACTCAGGTGAGTTCTGTTTGGTTTTTTAGGATATTTGATGTGTTTGAAACATGCAATACCAATTATAAAGAAGGATTAACCTTTTTCAATGTTAAAGGTTGTTGTTGTAAAAGTAAAACAGTTAATGAATGGTGCTTCATATTGCTTAGCAATAATATGATGTCTTTTTTTTGTCAAAATGTTATTGCTATTGTTTGTCAAAACAGGTTTATTATTTGTCCTCCCAAGCCAGGCGAAAATAGTATTCTGCTTATGAATGAATCTAGGTTGACTCACTTCTTTGTTGTAGGTTGAGATCAAGAAGGCCGAACCAAAGAAATCCTCAAACCCAGGTTCTCTTCCTCCATTTGCTAGTGACTCTAGGCCACGTTCTTACAATGATGGTTTTGGTGGATTTGGCGATTCTTATGGAAGTTTTGCGGGTAGCGGTTATGGTCCTGGTTCTTATAGGTCACTTGGAGGTTTTGGCGGTAGGCTCGGTGATTATGGTGGGTATGGAGGTGGAGATGACTTCGGTGGTAGTTTTGGGGGTTATGGTGGCAGCGCTGGTGGCTATGCAGGTTATCGAGGAGAATCATCATTTGGTTACTCTAGTCGCTATGGATCCTACATGGGGGGCCTTGGTGGTGGATATGGTGCTGGTGGGTTAGGCGCATATGGACGAGGTGGTGGGGGCTATGGCAGTTATGGTGGTCCAGGCACTGGTGGGGGCTATGAATCAGGCCCTGGTGCTGGTTATGGTGGGGCAGGAGGACTGTATCCTAGTAGGGGAAGTTATGGTGGCAGTAGTCGATACCATCCTTACGCAAGATAGATTTATTACTAAGCTTTGCAGTAGAAGTTGCATGCAGGTTTAAGCATTTTCTAGACACAATACTGCAGGTGGCCACTTTCTAGAAGTCAGATGAATCACTAGCATGTCTGTTTTATTCAATTGGTTAGACAACCGAAGGTAGAACATCATCAGTATAGAGCTTCCTGAACATCATCAATCTAGAGCTTTCTGAACATCATCAATCTAGAGCTTTCTGAACATCATCAATCTAGAGCTTCCTGTACAACATCAATATAGAGCTTCCCGTCAGTTATCAGCCTATATGATTATAGTTAGGCACGTTATGCTTTTATTTGATATTCAGATGTTTTCAAGTTAGACTATCTCGATTCTGGATATGAAATTTAGTTAGAGTCGCGGTGGAGTTGTGTGAATGTGTACTATTGTAGGTTATACTTATTAGAATCTTGTTTGAAAGAGTTGTTCTTGATCTTTCCATTAGTTATTCTTGGTAAGCTTATGTTGATGTTGACATAACCTTTTCAGGTTATACTACACTTGCTATGATTTAGTTTATGTTAAGTTAGATCATATCCATGTGGTGGTTCTCACTTAGTTTAAACAGTTTTATGAAGTCACTTGTCTTCCCTAAAGGGTTGTTTTGATGGCATCCCTTATTATCAATCATAAATTGGAACATAGAAAAGGTTGGACTATTGATCTGAACCTTATACTGAGATACATATTCTTAGATTTTATAAGACTCTAGCGATGGATAATAGATATTTTCAATGTGTAGGGGTTTCAGGGGTAGTTAAAATGAGAAACTACATGGTGCCAAATGGGCATTATGTCCTTTGATAGTGTACATTTGTTGCACATAGTATCTATTGAGCTATGTTTCATGAAATTATTTTTAGGTGCGTACCGCTAAGTATCTCCAAAATTTAAGGCATACGAACAGGTGTGATTATGGATGATGCGAATAGTCATTATGTCATCTTTACATTTTTCATTTTCTTATGGTATCTTCAACCCTAAAACATGCCCCCTTTGGCTTTGTCGATTACCTGGAATTTGGTCAGCGTTAGTGATGACTTCTGATACCTTGCCCTGGTTCCTTAAATTCCCTAAAAGCTACGCTGATAGCTGAAAATAAATTTGTTGATTGTTAAATGAATTGTGGAGATGGAGGCTCCTGCTACGGCGTGCTACGCGTGGAAGATGTTGTATTGGATGCAAGAATTTATGACTTGATTTTTGTTGGGTGGTTTGGAATATTTTGCCCTTTTTTTTACTGTTTAAATTTCTGTATTTTAAGTGCTTGTATGTGTGGCTCTTTGGTTTAGTAACTTATCTGCTACTGTTGAAAATTGAGAAACTCGGTTGTAATGTTCTAATATTGGTATATAAAAATAGTGGGAATTCAATTAATTGTAGCAATGTTAAAGTATAATGATGTACAACATTTTGCATTTGTTTTTTAATTTTGGAAATGTGGGCTGGTGACTTGCGGAAAGTTTGATTAGGCAATTTGCGTTATTGGGCTACACGCAAGAATAAGTGATAGATGTAGGATATAATTTTAATCTTACATTTATTAGTAGATACCCTTACCAAATTAGTTTTTGAAGATAATTGTTGAATTTTTTATTTTAATATTTTACAAGTATGTTTTTGTTGATGATTTCAATTTTCAATGCTTTAATATGATGATGAAAAGCTTTATAAGTTTAGTAGTGAGACATTAATGTTACTTTTCGTAAAATTATGTAACAAAATATTGATCTTGTATCAATTATTATTTTGTGACGGGAGCTTTGTTATTTTACCTGATATCAAATTTAATGAATTTGATTATTTGTCTTAATTCCTAAGAAATGTAAGTATTCTGTGAATTTGATTATGGGAAAAGTTTATAAACCCTCGTGAGGTTTACTTTTTTATTATTTATATTCCTATATTTTTTTGTATCAATTATTCGTTTGTGGTTTTTTTACCTTTAACACTGTTGTCTATTTTACTTTTATTTTATATTTGGAGTTTTATTTATCAAAAATAAAATCTGTTACTAAAAATAAAAATGGTGGCAAAGTCTACTAAACAAAATTTAATTAAAATGAAATAAATTTAAAAGAAAAAACATCTCTTTGTACTAAATTTAATCAAGGTATGTTAGAATTTAATTAAGCATTAATTGAACATAATAATAACAATAACAGTTAACTATTATTATGATTTCCCACCCGAGAATCGACCATAGATCAGTTGTCGTACACATTTGATGTGGCACAATTTAATTTCAAATCATCACGGGGTGTTGAGTATTGGTCCAAAAAAAAAAAAAAAAAAAAATTGCCCAAATGTTCAGCAGTAAGTTGTTTATGTATTTCACATGGAAAGCTAATTAAGGAATGATTCCCTGATACTGTTATTAGGAATCCTTTCCCGAGATTGAATTCAAGCAAAATGTGTTTTTTGTGCAGAATGATAAGCTAATTAAGGAATGGTGTTTTATTTTTGATAAAAAAACATCAAACATAAAATAAAGATAAAATAGATAAGTTAATTTAATTATTAACAGTGTTAAAGGTGGGCTTGTATGAAAAAATAATAATAAAAGGTAATTGATAAAAAAAATTAATAGAGATGTAAGTAATAAAAAAGTAAAACTTATAGGGATTTACGAACTTTTCGCTTTCATTATTTATATCTTTCACTTACCAATAAAATGGAAGTGTAGATGGTTACGACTGAGTGTGCAAGGGGAGATTCAAATCTCAAATGCAAATGCTAAAAAATTAGTTGTAGTAGAAATATGCATTAAACTGAAAAACATTGTACGCATTGCTAGTAATCAGGGGTGTTAACAGGTCGAGTCGAGCCGAACTTTAATCTTAACGAGCCAAATCTGTATTTAAACGTGTCAGACTGGTCTTAGCCGGTTACAAATATAATATTAGCCTGTGGCCTGCTTTATTTACAAAAAAATAAAAGTCTGTCTTAAGCCTGTGGCCTGGTTTATTTATTAAAAATAAAAACCTTAGCTTCTAATTTGCAACAGTATTTAGCCATTAAATATGCACTGATATTTTTTTTGTAAGAAAATAATAGTTGTTTCTTTTATAATAAAAAAATATATTAATATTAAAAAGTCAAAATAACAACATCACCTTTACTTTATGTTTTTGCTTTTCCTTAATTTTCTTCCATATTCTAGGTTTGAGCCCCACCATCAACTTTAGTTTTTTTTTTTTTTTTTGTCATTTTTAATCTTTCTACATCTTATATCTTCATCTTCAACGGAGATACAAAGTGCAGCCACCAGGCTGCCACACCATGGTAGAATGTTCATCTTCATAGATCCGGTCGCTTTTCACCGGTGACCATGCCTCTGTCTCCGTAATCATCATCACCACTTCGATACTCCCTAACATTAAAAAAATTCCAAAAAAAGACTAGTGAATTCCCATCTCCACAGAACAGTTTATCAGGCATGATGATGCTTATCCAAAACAAAAAAAGGAAGGGAGGAAAAAAAAACACATGGACGACAATGAACCAAAGCTCAAAAGCTAGAGGAAAAGTATTTTTTTTAATATTTGTGAGTTTTCTTTCAATATTTGGGAGAACTGTGTTTTCTTTCAAAAATTCCAAAAAAACCAGTGTGGCCTTGTAGATCTGCGTTTTCTTTCAATATTTATGAGTTTTCTTTCAATAATAAAATAACAAATAATAAAATGATTCTAGTCCACCTGCTTGTGAAAAGCTCCGATCTTTTCTTTCAATATCTTCGGATTCAGCAATGGAGTTTTCCGAGACCAAGAGTTTCCGGTGTGGCCTTGTAGATCTGTGTTTGTTGGGGACGATTACCTGGATCGATTTAGGAGAACTTGGAGGAGAGAGAGAGAGCGCCTGGATCGATTTGGGAGAACTTGGTTGAGGAGAGAGAGAGAGTGCATAGAAGAAGGTTGAAGTAGATGGACTTTGTCAACTTGTCACGGACTCACGATAAAATGATTAGTATACAAAATAATAATAATGTAGGGCCAGCCTCCCAGGCTTCAAGGCTGGGCTCACACATGAAAGTCTGAGGCCTTTTAAATAAAAAGGTTATTAATTAAGTTCAAGTTTGGGTCCAATTAATAAAAATGACGGGCCGGGCCAGGCCGAAACAGGTCGGGCCTTATTACCACCCCTACTGGTAATAAGTGTTTTTACATCCATGGATTTTTACATAAAATTCAATTCAATAAAAAATAAAGAGTTGGTTTACGGTTTATCAGGCTACATCTTGAATTGGACAGTAAGAAATGTATTTAAAATAGAGGGAAAAGTGTCTATACATTTAAATTACACAACTTACATCCTTTCACTCTCACAAAGAGGTGGGACCCACAACTTTATTTTTTTTGTCAACTCTCTCTCCTCCTTTATCTATCTCTTTCTCTCTCTTAAAATGACACAACTTTACATCCTTCAAAATTATACACACTTTTCCCTAAAATAGATTACATTGAAAATTTATTGAGGTCTACTATATGAAGTAATAATTTTAAAAGGGAAAAATTGTTTGCCATTTTTGAATATATTTGCGGCTTTTATATTTTCTTTCCTTCACAAAATTAGGAGGAGAAAGAAAATATTACAAAAGGGAGAGAATGTAAAAATTAACAAATGAAAATATGTATTAAAACACAATTGTTTTACTTAAAATAATAAATTTATGAAAAAAATGTGAGAAATTTATGAAAAAATGTAGAACATAATGAAATAATCAAATATGTATTTTGTTAGTATTTTAATTTAATCTATATAAGTATAGAATATGAGAAACTTTCATATAAATGAAATTAATTAACAATTGATGGACCATTATTTACATTAAGTACTCATAAATTTTTAAAAATTGTTTAATTTATTAAATTGCTATAAATAATATTTACACAAGTCTTTTGTAAAATAAGGATTATAATAGAGCAGGTATGGGTTGAATTGAATAGTAGTTTTATTTAATTTTATTTAATTTTAATTTTTTTCATGATTTTATTCAAGGTAAACAATTTTTTCAAGGAATTCCAAAAGCGTTGTTTAGATAAAAACCAATATTTCATTTGCACAAATCTTTTATGCAGATGATATAATAATCTTACCCTGTGAATTATTAATTCATCAATTGATTAAGGAATTGATCATGGAGTAGAATGATTAATTCAATGTGAGATTCAATTAAAGGAATTGAAGTCACTTTAGGGCAAAAGTGCATTATTGGAAGTTTTGGGTCAAAAATAATATTATGCAAAATTTACCTGAAACTTGTAAATAATGTGGTGAGACATTATTAAATGACATTGGTGAATGTTGAAAATCATGTTTAGATGAACTAAAGGATGTCTAGGATTAAATTGATGAGGGGACATGGAAGGAACTAACTTAAACGAACGTTGACTTTTCTATTCAGTTGATTAAGTTTTAACTTAGATATTTTAAGACTCATTTCATCTTCTTCATCGTCCTTCCTCTTCGAGAACCGATAGCCATTGGTAAAAGCTTGAGAAAACCAACTTGTAATCGAGCCATCTAAACACTTAGTTATATGAATGAAAGTTACTTAGAACCTTGGTGTGAGCAAAACCTATAATTCAAAAACCATTGAAAGGCTTTGTTTTGAGAGAAAACTCAACCTATAGGTGGCAGTTTTTCTCAGTATCTTGAAGCAAGGGGAAGTGTTTTGGTTCATTGGAAGTTTGGAAATTTGTCCTTGTATCATTGTGAAGTGTTTGGTGGTAAGAAATCTTACTTTGATTTGAGTTTTATGATGGTTGCAAATATAGGTTTACATCAAAGAAGTGTGGTATGAATAGTGATGTTAGAGTGTGATTTGGACTTAGTTCATGTTGTAAAGTATGTTGATGAACCCAAGCTGATTGACATGGATTGAGCTCAAATTTGGATAGCCAACTCCAAATGGGCTTTTGAGCAAGACTCGTTGCGTTGCCATGAGCATAAACAATTTCGGGCTTTTCCATAGTTTATTCTATAATTTAGGGTTTTTCTATAATTATTAGTTATTTACCTTTTTTGTTATTTCTTAGATTATGTTTGAGTGTGCATTGATTGTGCGTATCTCCTTTGATTGCACATGATTCTTTTTGGTTCAGTTTGATTTTTTGTTTGCCTATTTAAGGTTGAAGAATCCTATTGTTATTTGATTGTTTTTTTAATGAAATTCAGAAAAGCGAAATAGTATTTTCTCGCAATTCTTATGTTCGTTTTTTATTTCAGTTTAGCCAATGAGTTATTGTTTCGATATTATTTGGTAATTAGAGCTCTGGTTGTCACATAAATGGAAGAACAGAATAATGGAAATTGAGGTCGAGGTCGTGGACAACGGGGTCGAGGCAACAACGGCGGTAGAGGGCGTGGTAATACCCTTAACGACGACGGCGAACAATCACACATCTACGTGTGAGACACTATCATTGTAGCTGCAATGGCCATTGCAATGGAAGAACTAAGATAAACAAATTCAGAAGCTCAAACAACTACTTGCCCTAACACAGTTGGACGAGTCAGGGAGTCTGAAAGATCATCTCATGTAGAGAAAAGGAGTGAAAACTCATTCTGGAACCAGGAGCAACAAGAACGAAGTCAACCTGGTGATAAATCATTTTTTGCTAATATTAGGGTGAAGATTGAGATTTCGAAATTCGAGGGCAGCACTCATCCGGATGAGTTTATCAACTGGTCACACACCATAAAAAAGGTCTTTGACATTAGAGACTTGACAGAAAACTGAAAAATCCCTATCTATTATGAAACCAAAGAAGAGAAGAACCATAAGTATCCATTCTATGATGAGATCCCTATCTACGATGAATCCGATGAAGAGCAAGATGACGAGAATCTCATTATGGATGCTCTAGTTTATGACGAGTTTCCTATCTATAATAAGTATAATTGGGAGCAAGACGATGAGAATCTAGAGGCGGAAGAAACCCCTTATAGTGATTTCAGTGGAAAGTTAGTTACTAGAAATTCTAATATCTCTGACAAAGTGGAAGTTCTACCCAAAGATGTCATGTGATTGATGCTTCATTCAAGAAGTCTCTAGTTTGCAAGCAATATTATAAATTTGGGCACAGCAGGCATAACAACTTCATGCTCCATGGTGATAAAGATTTTGCTTTTGGTAGAAGTTTAATTGGAGATCGTCAAGGGAAATAGAACTTGATGTTACATCGGGCATAATTTTCCTATGATGGATCACAGTTGCGATCATTGAACCAAATTGAGGGAAATAGTCCTTTTGGGATAGTCTATGGGTTTTTTCCACTTACTCCCTTAGAACTCACATTATTTCTAGTTCCCAAGCAGTTTACTTCAAATGTAGATGAATATTCCAAGCATATCAAAGAATTGCATTCAAAAGTTCTACCGTTAATTAGGGAACTTGGTGATATTGTACCAGAATAGTTGCCTCTTAGATCACCACCTGTAAAAGTTGACATCAATGAAAACGACGCAGATTCGAGGGTGAATCTTTTCAAAGTAGAGGAGGGTGATGCACCTGTGTTGATTGATTTGGATTAGGTTCGAATTTGGATAGCATTAACAGTTTTGGGCTTTTCCATAGTTTATTCCATAATTTAGGGTTTTTCTATAATTGTTAGCTATTTACCTTTTTTGTTATTTCTTAGATTATGTTAGAGTGTGCATTATCTCTTTTGATTGTGCATGATTCCTTTTGATTTTGTTTGATTTTATTTTATTTTATTTTTTTGCCTATTTAAGGCTTGGAGAGCCCTATTGTTATTTGGTTAATAAAATTAAAAAAAGAGAAATATTGTTTTCTCGCAATTCTCGTGTTTGTTCTTTCTTTCTGTTTAGCCAATGAGTTACTATTTTGGCATTAGTGGAGATCCATCTTGTATGTTTAATCAAAAATTTCACCCACCTTCTATGTTATTTTCATAAATTAAGTCCATTTATGCATCCAAGAGCAATTTCATTTATTTGGGCAAGGAGCATTTGGTTGATTAGGGATCCCGGGCATGACTGCGCATAAATAACATTGTTTCTTTATTACATAGGCTTAATGGGTTGTTTGTTTTTCAGGGGGCCCAAGATCCAAAAGAAGAGAAGCCCCAACGTAGCTCAATGCAAGGAAATGGAGGGGAAAAGATGAAAATGTTGAAAATTAAAGCATGAGACAAAATCAAAATAAGTAGAAGAGAGAGAAAGACATCATGTTGCACCCTTTTTATCCTATTACCCGAAATGGACAAACACCAAGGAAAAGCACCCCACACTCCAGAAAAATGGAATTTTCTAGTTTTGTAAGGCAGCATCACACCAAAATCAGAAAAAAAACAAAGGAAAAGTGACCAACTTGTACAACCATGTTTGAGTTGGCACTGAGCATTGTCTCTCATCAAAAGAATATTGCAATCATGGCCGTTAGATTAAGATCAAGGGCTAAGGAAAAACCTTCAGGGGACCTGAGGCCTATAAATAGGAGATAAGACCCCAATTTCAGAAGTCTTTGGCAAATTCCATCGTCTTCCTCAATGTGTTTAGCCATTTTCATTTTCTTAGTTTATTTTTATGTTTTTAGTTAGTTTTTCTTTTGTAATTCTCCTAAGTAGGAGCTAAATATGCTGTAACATCCCAAGAGCTGGCAAGGGCAGGGAGTGATCACTGGTGCAAAAGCGATGAGGCACGAATAATGAGCGGCTCCTACTAGGCTTGTAGCTGGGGGATACATGAATGAATCGAATCAACACCCGAAAGAGAGGGATTCAATAGACTGTGCATGTATGAGACTGTACAGTTGGAGATAACTTGTAAGAATTAATTGGTGCTACCTATACTAATAATATGCGTATACTTTTTGGTAGCCCATAACTTAATAACTCTATAGTTAAATGTGCAATTCTGGGATGAGTGACCTCATGAAAATTTTTCCCATAAAGTGTGTAAG